GTACCTCAATAAATGTCACATTTTAAACCAAAACAATCTAAAGCATGTAGATCCATAAAATGTAAAATTTTAAAATTACTGAAACTATTTACAATTTTGTTTCCTTGTATATGCTGCACCATAGTAAGTACTTTTGTTACTAGTGTGACCATGTATTTGTATCCGTAAATAGATTTTCTTTCATAATCAATACCAATTGTCTGTCGTATTTTCATGTGTGTTTCACCTTACAATTTTGTTAACCTTTATAAGCTGTACATCACAGTTTATGTATGGCCCAACCTGCTATGTGTTGCAGCATAAAACCACTAAACCATTAATCCCAGATTTTAAAGCCTGTCTCGTAGCTCCATAGTACAGGGGTTTAAATCCTGCATTCATGTACAATAAAGGTTAATATGATAAAGATGATGAGTATATTAAGTCCTACCTTCAGTTTTGACCTTGTTTGGAAGATTGTAATCTGACCTTGCAGACCTCACAATGTGGATAATCTTCTGTGCAAACTCAACTTCAGATTCAATTTCAGTATTTTTCCATGGACACTGGAACAGAATACGATGTGATCAAATAAGGTGGTAAATATCATGCAAAGGGCTGGATTATACAGAACTTTCTAACTTCAAACACTTGGTTTGTGTTACACGTCTCGGCCAGCTGTGGGCTCTCGTTAAAAGTCTCCAGAAGGAAACCAGCTATCCTGAGATTATTCACAGTTTTGCTCAGTCTCTCCAGACAAATGCAGGACAGAACCTTAAATAGGGCAATTACTGCATCCTTACATATCCTTTCTCCTTTATAATTCATTAACTATCCTATAATTTGACATACAAGCTACTGAAATTGTAATTAAATAAACCATAAATAAATATGTTTTTGGCAGAATTGTTTATTCTTCATATATGGGAGGTTGTGAATGTCCATATATTTTACCTCAAAAACTTCTCAATCAATTTTGATTAAATCTGATACTGCAGTTTCACACTAAAAACTGTCAGTCAAATTTAATTTTAATACATACCAATTCAATAAAACCTAATAAATAAATAAATAAATAAAAAGAGTCATTCTTCAGAAGCTAACAGTTACTTAGCTACTCAATAAATTATACACCTTTTATGGAACCCAGTGATTCATTAACATATTAACAAGGACCCTCCATTGGACTTCATCATAAGCCAGATAAAATTCAACCCACCCTGAAAAGCCCATTTTTTAAACACCTACCATAATATTACTCTTTGACCTGTGTTTACAGGTGGTCTCTTCCTGTCACATTTCTTGCCTAAAATTTTATGTACATTTTTCATTAGACTGAAATTCAGAGAGCTGCTGAAAAGTTAAGAAAGTGTAAAATGTCAAGTACTGAGAAAATCCTGGGAGAAATGACCCAAATATGAGGTGACCATTCATTACCTTCAAAGATCAACAAATTTCTTCAACCTATAAGCAATAAGGAAAAGTATCTATTAACTACAAGTAGCACAGTCCTTCTTTGGAAGCTAAATAGTCATTCGGCTCATCTAGAAATTGTCAGCCTTTTATAGAACTTAGTTATTAACATGTTCACAAGATCACAGTTCCTATCCTGAGTCTGAAGAATTCAATCCACATCTCATATCATTCCTTAAAGATTATTTTCTTTTAACAGCCACTTTAACACTGTCTTCTCATTTATTCCTGTCCGATTAGAATGTTGTGCCCATATAAAAAAAAGTATTCAGCCACCCTAGTGTACAAATAATTAAACTCCACATGATGAAATTCTCTTGTCTAATTAGTAGTGTTCCTCCACGTCTTGCCTAATAAATTAATTCATTTCTAACGCCTCCACATTTCTTAATGACACACAAAGTGGAAAACCAACAGTAATAAAGGATAAGGATTTATGAAATAAATGTTTACCTATTCACACTCAACTATAATAAATACATATTTTACATAAAAATATGACCAAACTTTCACAAATTTTCTGTAAGTGCCTGATAAAAAAAAGTACATGACATGAAATATTTATCTATAAATAAAACCATTTAACAGAATAGAAGGAAAAAAATAATTCTATCTCTCTAAATAGTATTATAACTGTACTGCTGATTAGATGAAATAAACACACTTCAAGAGAAATTGGGAATGAAACATTGTAGAAATCTGCAACCTACCTAACACGTGAATAACATTTTATAGTGAACAATATTTTACAAAACCATTTACGCCACAAAAGCAAAGAATTATTTCAAAATTGTTCAAAACAACATACCTCATGTAAATCAGGATATGGTGCAATACAGATGCTAGAATGCTGTTCTGTTGAGTAGGGAAGCCGCTGAAATAGTTCTTCTGTAATAAAGGGCATGAATGGTGAGAGTAAGCGAAGTCCCACATGAAGACACTTATACAGGACTGTCTGAGCTGTAACTATGGCTGTACTGTCCTTGCTTTGAAACACTGGCTTCAAGTACTCTAGGTATACGTCACAAAGATCATACAACCAAAGATTGTAACAGGCCGTAGTAACCATTGCAAAGTCATAATTTTCAAATCCTTTATTACACTGTTCTACTGCTACTGATATGCGACTGAGCATCCACAGGTCCATTGCTGTCTCATTCCCAACCACCTAGAAAAAAATAAATCACATGAACGGCTATGTAATATTAATGTATAATAAAACATGTGAGGCTGAAAGTGCAAGGCTTTTAACGGGGTATATACAGATCCTTCATACGATGATGTTAACTGAAACCAAAATGTATACATCAACAAATAACAAAACAAAACCAGTGGGTAAAATACGAGGCGCGTCCCAAAAGTAAGTTTCCCACTCGTCCCACAGCTAGCAAACCTTATATTGCGCGAAGCGACTGTGCGTACGTGATAGAGCAATGACGTAGCATGGCGCATGCACTAA